AAAAAAAAAAAAAAAAGCTTGTTGGCACGGTGTCCTGGGTTATTCTAAGAACGTCTGTGAGAAATTCCTACGGTTTGAAATCTCCACTTCTCTACGGAGTCGTCCAAACATGGCCTCATTGTTGATCTTCAGATGCATATTTTTAGTGTGAGGTGGGTTGTGTTTATTTTTTTTGATGAATAGCAAAAAAATGAGGTTTCTATAAATAAAGCCGTGGCTTCCCCCCGCCCCCCATTTTGTGCACGATTCACAAGTGCGGTGACCAATCAAATGCCAAAGAATTCACCATGGAAAGTTCCCGTGAGTGAGAGGAGGGACAGTTGTGTCTTTAAAGAGCCTAATGGTCCAGAGCACCTGGAGGGAGCCCTACCTGCATCCGTCTGTCCCGAGTGCCTTCTGATCGCTTTTGATGATCCTCGTGTGAAGGGGCTATCAGTTTCTCTCTTGACCGCAAGCACTCCACTTTCTGAATCGGGAAGAGTCGTAGACTGAGTGACAGCCCCAATTTCACCGTTCAGTCTGTAAAACGGTTTGCACCAAGGCGGGGTCAGGAGGCACCGCAGGGCCCTGAGATCTGTGCTGCTCGCAGTCCGTGGCTTCTGGCCCAGAACGTGTTCCCCTGGCCTGCCGGGCCATGGAAGAGCCCTGGAACCCCTCGCCGTGGAAGAGCCCGTGCAAAGTCCCAACTCACGTTAGCGGGGACATTCACGGTAGCTCCCGGATGGCACTGCCACCACTTGGCAAACCAAGGGTGTTTGTGGGAAGAGAACCCTTTCGAGACGCGTTAGCGTGGGATTTTCAGTTCTTATGTGGAGACGGGGCGTGGTCCCTAACTGTGTCCACCTGTCCCTGTCTCTACCTGCTGGTGACTTCCTACCTCTGCCGACCTTGCTCTCCCTCCCCCCGCATGGTCACCTCATCCCTGCAGCTCCTTCCCCTGCCCACCTGTGTCTGCCCTGCATGAACTAATCCTCATCCGGGCCTGGCTCCCTGAGCAAAATTGCCAAGTCCGGGGATGGCCTGGGATTGGGCCCCGTCGCGTCCACATTCCATCTTGGAAGCTGTTCCAGCGTGTGAGTGGCTTGCCTGCCCGCCTCTGCTCGGCTCTGCTCTCTGTCCTAACCCCCAGGCACCCACCCTTTCCCACAAATTCCCACCCTTCGAAGAGCCTTCGGCTCCTTTTCATTGTGGTGGAAAACATATAACGCAGAATCTGCAATCTTGACCGTTGTTCGGTACAAGGTAGCAGCACCTGTGTGCGTGTTACCGTGCATCACATTTCTAGAACTTTTCATCTTGCGAAACAGAAACTCTGCACCCACCAAACAGCAACACCCTCTCTGCCTCTCCCCCCAGCCCCTGGCAGCACGATTCTACTTTTTGTTTCTAACGGTTTGCCGACTTCAGGAACCTCCTGTGAGTGGAATCATACCGCGTCTGTCCTTTTGTGTCTGGCTCATTTCACCGCGCGTCATGTCCCCTCCGGGCTCATCTGTGTTGTAGCAGGCGTCAGAACTTCCTTTCTGAGGCTCAATAATATTCCGTTGTGTGGATGGGCCACGTCTTCTGTATCCATTCGTTCTCCAGCGGACACCAGGGCTGTGTTCACCTCTTGGTTTTTGTAAATAATACTGGGATGAGCAAAGGTGTGCAAATATGTCTTTGGGATCCCGCTTCCTTCCAGTTCTTCTGGGGACGTACCCACAAGTGGGGCTGCTGGATCGTAGGGTAATTCTGTTTTTAATTTTTTGAGGAGCTGCCGTACCGTGTTCCCCGGCGGCCACACCATTCTGCATCGCCACCAACCGTGCGCAAAGTTCCGGTTTGCCCACCCCCGCGCCAACGCTTGCTCTCGTCCGGTGTTCTGACGGCAGCCATCCCAGCGGGTGTGAGGTGATGTCTGATTGTGCTTTGATAGGACACGTGAGGTGATACATACACTCACTGGCCATTTGTAGATCCCGTTTGGAGAAATGTCCAAGCGAGTCCTCTGCCCGTGTTTTAATCAGCCTTTTTTTGAGTGTGTGTTGTTGACTTGTAGGGCTTCTTTATATAAGCTGGATACTAATCCCTTGTCAGATATTTGGGCTGCCCATTGTGTAGGTCGCCTTTCACCCCGGCAGGGGTTTCCTTTGCTGCATAGTTTTTCAATTTTTATGTAGTCCCGTGTATTCATTATTGCTCTGGTAGCTTGAGCTTTTGATGTTATATCCCAGAAATCACTGCAAATTCTATATCATGAAGATCGCCCCTGTGTTTTCTTCCAGGGGTTCTACAGTTTTGAGTCTTACATTTAGGTCTTTGATCCATTCTGCGTTAATGTTTGTATATGGTGCAAAGCAAGGGTCCGAGTTCACTCTGTTGGATCGGGATGTCCGGTTCCCCCCGCCCCGTTTGTTGCAAACACGTCGCCTCCCCGCCGACTGATCTCGGCCCCGCCGTCGAAGTTCATTTGACTGCCTATGCGAGGGTCATTTCTGGGCTGTCTGTTCTGTCTCTTCAGCCCCCGTGTCTGTCTTTATGCCATTACCACACTCTTTGTGAGCTGTTAGCTCTTTTTAAAAGGTGTGGTATTTGTCTTTGTGCCTGAAGACGTACACGTCCTGAAGCTGCCTCTGCTCTCTGTCCAACCTTGAACGAAGCAAGTGCCCTTTAGCTGTGGTGGCAGGTGGTGGGCACAGAGACTTTACAAAGGGAGACAGGGCCAGTCCTAAGTGCTGTGCTATGTGCCGTGTGAGTCGCTGCTCGTGGTGGAGACTGCACAGCCACCCCTCTTCGGGAGAGGAGACACGGCCTCTAGGAAGTCCGCGTGGATGTGTCGCACTCAGCAGCTCAGATCCCGCATACGTCGGGGGGGGGGGGACATCAGGGAACTGAAGGATGAGCGTGTGTGGAGCAGCCAGTGTCCGCGGTGAGACGAAGTCGCTGGGTCCCCACCTGCTTGCTTGTTCTCCTCCTTTAAAATCCACTTAGGAGGGGGGCGCCTGGGTGGCGCAGTCGGTTAAGCGTCCGACTTCAGCCAGGTCACGATCTCGCAGTCCGTGAGTTCAAGCCCCGCGTCAGGCTCTGGGCGGATGGCTCGGAGCCTGGAGCCTGTTTCCGATTCTGTGTCTCCCTCTTTCTCTGCCCCTCCCCCGTTCATGCTCTGTCTCTCTCTGTCCCAAAAATAAATAAAAAACGTTGAAAAAAAATTAAAAAAAATAAAATAAAATAAAATAAAAAAAAAAATAAAATCCACTTAGGAGGAACAATCCCTGGACTGCCACACTCAGTGCCCCCACGCGTCTGCACGCAGTAGGTGGTTCTCTGGGAGTGTGGATCGAACGTACAAGGAAGGTGCCAGGGGCCACAGGGCAGCGGAAGGAGAGTCTGATGTAATATGTTGGGAGCAAATCTCGGAAGGCCTCCTGGAGGGAGCGACCTTTCTGCTGACGGCTCCCAGGATAGGTAGGACTTAGTTGGGCGGAAAGGGATAGGAAGGGCATTCGAAGCATAGGGGACAATGTGTGCAGAGGCCTGGAGGGGAGAGCCCAGATGGACAAGCTGAAAGATACGGGGTCTGTCTGGGGGTACAGCAGGGGACGGGGGTCGGCTGGGTGGAAAACAACCTTCGGGAGTTACACAAGGGTCAGGACAGTCAGCGCCTTGTGAGCTGGGTGCGGTGTTTGGGACCCACCCCCATCTCTGCCCGTCTGACCTTGCGGCTTACGGAGGAGCATCCTGGATGTACCAGCTGTGCACACACCCGGCCTCCAGGAACCAGAGCCTTCCTCCGTCCCCCCTCTGGTGCCGGGGAAACGTCCTTCATGCATTTTCAAAAAAATTCTTTCTTTTCATCTTTCCATGTGGCTAGAAGGCCTCGACTAGGCCTTCTAAGGCAATGCAGCACAGTGAGCAATATTTTTTAGGTGTTTCCAAACTTTAGCACTTTAAAAACATAAATATTTAAAGAAGTCCACCATCTGCCTCATCGATGAAAGCCTCAAAGATGTATTCTGAGATCATTTCCTAAAAATCAGCAGACCGCAGGGTGCTGACTCACTCCCACAATGTTCACACACCTCAAAGTTTCGGGAGATGTTTGTAATAACACAGTTGTAAGCAGAATTGTTGCTGTCGGAGATATTTTTACTGGGGATTGACATCCATGTGTACATAAATTGATCCACTCATCCATCCACCCATCCACCAATCTGCCTATCCACTTGTCTATCTATCCATCCATCCACCCACCTGTCCGTCCATCCACCTACCTGTCTGTCCATCCATCCACCCACCCATCCACATGCCCGCCTACCCATCCACCCATCTATCCATCTTTTCATTGACAAGGAACACTGTGGTCCCATTGGAAAATAAGACAAGCCCTTGCCCTCAGGGGGTTCATAGTCTAGTGGAGAATGTAGACCATAGGCAGCAATATTTCATTTACTTCCAACTGTGATGGGTGTAGTGAAGGAAAAGGCAGGTAGTTTGAGAATCTCCAGCAGAGCAATCTGACCCAGCTTGGGATCAGGATAACTTTTGCAAGGAGAAAACATGGCTAACCTAGAACATGAAGGACAGGTGGGAGTCTGCCAGGGAAAGTGGTGAGAGAGTGTTTTAGGAAGAGGGACCGGTAAGTGCAAAGGCCCTGGGGCAGGAAGGTGTTTGGCACGTTCAAGCAGCTGAAACGAAGTCAGAGTAGCTGTGGCCATGTGATCCAAGGCCAGAGAGGCCTATGGGGGCTCCATCATTCTGGGTCTTCAAGACCATGCTGTGAATTTGATCTTAAGAGCAGATAGGAAGTCAGGGACAAATGGCAAACAGAAGAGGGCTATAACCAGGTTTGCCTTTTTTTTTTTTTCTTCAACGTTTATTTATTTTTGGGACAGAGAGAGACAGAGCATGAACGGGGGAGGGGCAGAGAGAGGGAGACACAGAATCGAGCAGGCTCCAGGCTCCTGAGCCGTCAGCCCAGAGCCGGACGCTGGGCTCGGAATCACGGACTGGACAGCGAGATCGTGACCTGGCTGAAGTCGGACGCTCAACCGACTGCGCCACCCAGGCGCCCCAGGTTTGCCTTTTTTTTTTAAAACATTTTTTTTTCATCGTTTATTTATTTTTAAGACAGAGAGAGACAGCATGAACGGGGGAGGGGCAGAGAGAGAGGGAGACACAGAATCAAACAGGCCTCCAGGCTCTGAGCCATCAGCCCAGAGCCTGGCTCGGCACCGAACTCACGGACCGCGAGATCGTGACCTGGCTGAAGTCGGACGCTCAACCGACTGCGCCACCCAGGCGCCCCAGGTTTGCCTTTTTAAGTCAAGTTGGAATGAAATATGCCACACGTGGGGACAAGTGCACACATATGGTCAGCTTGGGCCGTCGTAACAAGGCACCGTAGCCCGGGCAGTTTAAACAACACACGTCCTGGAGGCCGGAGGCTGAGATCTCGGTCCACAGGGTTTGGTGTCTGGTGAGGCCTCCCTTCCTGGCTCGCAGAGGGCCGCCTTCCTGTGGCGTCCTCACGTGGCCTTCCTCCACGCATGCGTGGAAAGGGGACTCTGGGATCCCTGCCTCTTCTTACGAGTGCACCAACCCTTGGATGGCCCCTTGCTTTTCGCCGCAGTCAACCTTAGTTTCTTCCCGAAAGACTCTTGTCTCCCAATCCAGCCGCCTTGGGGGGAGGGGGTGTCAGCGCTTCAGCATGTGACTCCGGGAGGCACACGCTTCAGGCCATCGCGGTACAGCCCCGTGGGTGTTCGTCAGGCAAACACATCCCTGGAACCCGCGCTCAAAGAAAAGGCACGTGACCCCTCAACCCTCTTCATGGCCCTTTGCGGCCACCCCCACCCCCAAACCGTGCCTTCTGGCACCGCAGGGAGGCTTGCCTCCGCTTGAGCCGTGTACTGATGGAATCGCACAGCGCAGGCCCCCTTGCGTGTGGCTTCTTCGCGTCACGCGTGTGAGCCCGTGCACACCAGCCCTCGCCCACCTGCCCGGCCGCTGGGGGGCGTGCACCGTGGGGGCATCAGGAGCCGTGCTGTCCGGCCATTGCCGGGCGGACCTCGTGGTGGGCGCGAGGGAACGCTTCTGGCGGGTGCGTGCCCAGAGTGGCACTCTAGGGGGTCGCGCCACGTCGTGTTCCGGAATGGCTTCATCAGGTGACTCTCCGGCTGGCGCAGGACGAGAATTCCGGGTCCTCTACACCCTAACCACCTGGTGGCCTTAAAACGTTTTTTAAACGTTTATTTATTTTTGAGAGACGGGGAAGGGGGGGAGGGCGGGGCAGAGAGAGGGAGGGAGACCCAGAATCCGAAACGGGCTCCAGGCTCTGAGCTGTCGGCACAGAGCCCGACGCGGGGCTCGAACCCACGGACCGTGAGATCGCGACCTGAGCCGAAGTCGGGTGCCCCTTTAGTTGCCTTTTTAAACGTCACCTTGGCTACCGTGTGGGCGACGGGCAGCCGGGGTGGGGAGGCCAGAGTTGCGGCCGATCTGGGGATCCAGAGGAGCGGGGCTGGTGGCCGAGGGGATCCCGGCTCACGGGCCGACAGCGGGTCTGCGAGCCTCGTGCCCAGGGCTCCGTGAGCCCAGTTTCGTGAATGGTCCCGCTGCCCCTTTCACGGAGAACGTGTGCGCCCCTGTGTGTCCCTCGCACATTTTCTCTGTCCACTCCCGGAGCCATTGGCGGGTTTTTCGGTTGTTGTTCGGACCGTTTTCTGAAAGGTCTTGAAAGCCCCAAGCCAACGAGAAAAGGTTAAATGCCTGTGACGGAGTTTCTCGGACAGTTTTTCCAGTCCTGTTGGGCCCAATTGCCAGATACTGAGCAGTTACGGGGGACGTACAGGGCGCAGGGCATTTGGGGGGGGCGGTCCAGGGAACTAAAACGTGCTCCTTGCCCTCGGGGCATATAATCCAGGGGGGCGCCAGGCCGGGGCTCCTCACCAGGTCAGAGGCACGTCTGTGTGTGCTCGCTCAGTGCCCCCGGGGGGAGAAGACTGTGTCCTCAGCACTTCCAGGGGTGGATGGGACTGTACTCCTCTCTGCCCCTTGGGCTGAGCCCGCTGTGACTCTGGCTCCGCGACTGCCCCCCGGGCCACCCAGTTCTACTGCTGCATCTCCCCACTCCCTGGCCTGCATCAGAGCTCACCGTCTCCGCCACCGGCTTACCGCCAGGCGAGATTCAGCACCGGGCCTGACGCTCCTGAGGACCAGGTCACAGAAGGATCTGGAAGAGGGAACAAGGCAGGGGCCCCACGATCCCACGGAGCTCGGGAGACGCGCCCACGGCTGTGAGGACCCTTCCACCGACAGGCTGCCCTCTGTGCCTTCCTGTGAGGGGGCAGGAGGGGGACGGGATGTCCCCTCGGAGCTGCCCGCTACAGTGATAATGCTGGACAGAGGGGGCATCGCTTTCACCGCCTTCCTGATTTGCACTGCAGCACAAATGACATGGGGTTTGGGGGCGGGCTCTGGGGGCTGAAGCTGTGTGTCTGTGCCTTTGTCCCTGCACTGGAGGCAAGGAGGGGAGGACGTGATGGAAGCCCCCGGCCCTCTGCCCTACTCGAGTCGCTCGATTTTTGTCATGGAGGAGGGAGGCAGGCCCGGGGTGCCGAGGATGACACGTGGCCCGAGAGAGAGGGAGCTGGGACACTCTCAGGGCCCTGCCTGCTGCCTCCGTGCCCGGAAAGTCCCGGGAGGGCAGCGACGCCTGTAGACGGCAGCCTCATCTGTCCTCCTGTACGACTTTCTGCCCGGGCCACCGGGCCCGCGGAAGGATCGAGGGGGTCAAGGCCCGGCCCGGGCTGGCTGTGCCCTGGACACCGAGGGCAGCGGCGGGATGGGACGAGGCAGCTTCTGGCGTGTCCTCTCAGCCATCGGGCCGTCTCCGGGCCCCCACGCCCCCACCCGGCACTGGGACTGCTTCTCCCACCTTACGCCTCGTTTCCGCACCTTTCTTCCCCTCGGGGATGCAGGCCGCTGCGGGCCGGGATTTTTGTCTGTTTTGTTCACCGCCCGTTTCCCCAGAAAGATGCCAGGCTGGGGGGACTGTTCCTCGGGTCCTCATCCGGCGAATGAGCCAACACGTCGTGTGCGTCGTAGGTCCTGATGCGGGTGGTTGGGGGGCTCGCCGGCCGCGCGACCGTGTTCTCTCGGCTGCGCCTCCTCCCCCGCCCTCCCCCCCCCCAGCGGCACCACAACACCTACGCGGTGAACCGTAAAGGCAAACTCTTGGGGGGCAGGTGGGAGTCTTTGAAAGCCTGAGCCTGCGTCCCCAAAGGCTTCTCTGTGCAGAAGCGCGTGGCCGTGCCCAGCCTCTCTGGGTGCTTCACGTCCCTCGTGAGACGCCAGCTCCAGAGCCCACGCCACCCGGGTCACGCTGTGCGAGCGCTTCCCGCCCGTGCGTGGGCTTGAACCCGCCGCTCTGCCTGCGTCAGGAACAAGCGAGCGCGGCCCGTGACGCCGCTCACCGACCACTTCCGGGTCCCCCTCCTTCCAGGGACACGCGTGGATGGCGCCACCCGGCTCCCCGTGGGCTTCCCGGAGGAGGTGTGCCCGTCACGCATTTCTTCATTCGTTTGGCAAACACCGAGAGCCTGTTCGGAGACGGGCCTATGCAGGCTTGTGCCGCGGAGGTTAAGCGGTGGTCGACACGGTGTGCCTGTTCTGCACCAGGAGGCTCAGAGGACAACGGAAGAGGCACGCACGTGTGCAAATGTGAGGAGTGTGCTCCCAAGGACAATACGGCAGGGAAACCGGCACGTTGAAGAAGCAGAACTCCGGCGGTTCACCCACCCACCCCTGGAGCGGGTGCCTCCCAGCCCCGGGGTGCTTCCAGAGCAGGCCCTGTGACTTCCGGGTCACTGTCGTGATGAAAGCTTCCCCAGCCGCGTTTAGTCACAAAAACTGGTCTCGTCTAGTCCCACGTAAGACTTCCCTGCAGGCGCCGCCGTGTCCCTGCTCCAGGCCGGCCAGCCTCCGACTGGAGGCCTGGGCGTGGGAGCGGGCGGTGCTCCTTCTCGCCCTTCCCTGCCCTGCTTCTCGCCCTCTCCCCGCCCCGCTCCGAGGCCCCGGGGCCCTCCGGGGCTGGGGTGAGTGGGGCGGGCGGGCCTGTATTCCCAGGCCAGCGTGCACGCTTGAAGCTGACTGTTTCGAGGATGCTTTTGTGGCCTTTTTAGACCCTGCTGTGACGAAAACATCCCACTCGGACCCCCACCCCCTCCCCGAGCCTCGGAGGCGGACGGGAACTCACAGGATCCCTTCGGTCTGCGTGGGGCTCCTCCCGAAGGCCCACTTCCTGTCCACGGGAACCTGGCACCCTTGTCCCCTCTGCGCCCGTGTTCCCACTGCTGGTGGAGGACAGTCCCCCCTCAGCAAAGCCAATTTCAAAGCGCAAGTTGGTCTCTGGTCCGCTGTCACCCCAGGCCCCCCGAGACTCCTTGAGTCTCCCCCGGGCCTTGGGCGAGGAGAGGCACCCCTCACTCGGAGCACTTTCTCCCAAGAAACGTTCTCTCTTTGTCCAATGTGACCTCATCCCCGTTGCGATCTTGAGGATGGCGTCCAGCTCAGGGTCACCGAAACGGTGCTGGCCACCTTCTCGGCAAGTGGTATCCAAGCAAGTGTCATTAGCCTGGATCAGAACTAGCCAGCAAAAGAAATCACTCTCCGTGCAGTAAAAGAAGCCAAGAGCTATCTTTATTAGAAAAAACAGGCCAGCTTCTTAATACTCTTGCGACATAATTTTCGCCAGTGGTAATAACCGTTTATGATTTATTAAGAGCGGCTCCTTTGAGCCCGGCATTATGAGCGTGCCTTGCGAGGACGCCAGGGTGTGGCCCGTGGGCGTTAGTATTTATTCTTCAGAGAAGTGAAAGGGCGTGTCCAAGCCCACTGAGCTGCTAAGACGGAACAGGATTCGAACTCTGACTTCCAGATGCTCAAGTCAGTGCGTATCCCCACCGCGTCACCATAGGATTATGTAGAAAAGAAAAAAGGACGCTGATCTGTGCAAAGATCAAGAAAGACAGCGATGGGGGCACCTGGGGGGGCTCAGTTAAGTATCAGACTCTTGATTTCGGCTCAGGTCGTGATCTCACGGTCCGTGGGTTCGAGCCCCGCGTCGGGCTCTGTGCCGACAGCTCGGAGCCCGGAGCCTGCTTCGGAGTCTGTGTCTCCCTCTCTCTCTGCCCCTCCCCTGCTCACACTCTGTTTCTCTCTCTTTCTCAAAAATAAATAAACGTGAAAAAATTAAAAAGAATTTTTTTTAATCTTGTATTTGACATAACATAACACTCACCGTCTTAACCGTCTACGAGCGTACGAGTTCAGTGGCACCAAGCACGTTCACGGTGTGGTGTAACTATCACCACTATCTGCCTCTAGAACTTTTTCATCATC